TGTTTCAAGCTTTGCAATGATCTCTCGAATCCTGTCACACTAAACGCAACCTTAGTCATTTTGTCGACTTGGGCAGAAAAATCAACAGTTGTAACTGCACTAGCATCTGAAAACTCAGACTGAAATACAGATGAAAAGTAATTAAAAAAGGTTTGACCTTACTCGGATAATCGTTAATAATTCTGTCGGACCAGAGAAATGGCGGAACAGAAGTGTCCTCCTTATCGTTTCTTTGAACGTATTTCCAAAGTTCCTTCGGATCGTCTACCAGCTTCTGGCCTAAGTTAGCGAAGTATGTTTGTTTTCCTGATCTAGCGAGCTTTCTAAAAGTAACAAGGCACCAATGCATGCCTCAGTTTCATGTCTTTTGGGTTTGCAAAAGCAACATTTGTTGTGTGCTACGGCCCAGTCCTCCGAGTTTTGTAGGACCGATAATGATTGACGCATAGTTGCTGTGGTTCCCGAGCCTCTCATAGACGACGCCGATGAACTCATAGACGTATCAGCCACGAAACAAAGGGGCGCGAGCCCCCCCCCCCCCCCCCCAATTTCAACGGTCTTCACTACCGGTTGCACACTGGGGAAACCAACGCGTAAGGCGACTTTTTTCCTTCACCACACTAATCGCTCAAACATTTTGTTACGAGGAAATAGAATTGTTGCCAGGAAATGTTTTATTAGAGTGAAATTTATCCAACTTTTCTGCTGTGACAATGTTTCTTGGAGGATCTTTGCGGTTAGGGCCACCTATGCGATGCTTTTACAAGTTGTGCAGTAACATTGCAAAGCAGGCTACAGTACAAGGCATAAAACCATCTTTTGATGTAGCCTGCTTTGTTATGAATGGACGAAAAATCATTTTATGAAGCAGTCAGAGAATTTGCTTCTTAAGGAAAAGTGTTTTTTTTTCGTCAAAAACAATGAGCATCATCACTGCTCTGTAAAAGCTGCTGTGAGCTGATGATTGTGACAAATCTTCTTAAGTGTGCTAGCTTTACTATGCTGGAAGTGCCAAAAAAAAGGTTTCCGCTCAAGACTCTGATAAACCTGATCAGCCTCGCTTATGGTAACTAGGGGCTTTAACAACAGTTTGCAAAGTGGCAACGAAAAAAGAAGTGGACTCGAGTACACTGGGAAGCGTAGGCGTATCAGCAAGGGGGGGGGCGGCAGGGAGGCACAAGCCCCCCTGAGCCCCCAACCTTCGACAGTAGTCACTCTGGCTGCCCGATAGGTAAACCAACAATTAAGGCCTAGTTTGCCATTCCACCAGTAATCACACGATTATTATGTTCTATAAAATTGTTACGGGGTCAGGGGTCATGTTATAACATAGTAAAATAATTTTGCAAAAATTGCTGCTGTGATGATTTTTTGTAAGTTCTTGCAGGCAATATATATATATATATATATATATATTGTAGTGGGGAAGAGGGAGAGAGAAACTATCTAGTCGGAGCACCTAGACGACGACAGCGACGAAGAGCTCAGCTGATGAGAGTGACTGACGCCTTGAATCACGCAGTAGGTTTCAGTCAATAAACCCCCGTATAATTTGGTGGGGGTGCTGGGTATTCTTCGAAGCTGGAACTATGAATTCGCACCTTACCTCCCGTGTCAGCAATGCCGGAAAAACCCTCCACCCAAGGTACCTCGCGAGTTCCCGCCTCTACATGTCCCGGCGTGTGGTCACTGCGTCACCCACCGACCTTCAGCGGCACTGACGGCCAATACGTTGAGGAGTGGCTGGCTACTTACCACAAGGTGAGCGCAGCGAACAAGTCGGACGATGCGGCTAAGCTGACCTATGTAAGTTTAACTTTTCCAGCATCGCTGGCCTTGATTGCGCAGTCACGAATCATTCAAGGCCTCCTTTTTGCAAGTCTTCGACCGCCCTGCTGTGCGAAAACTCGGCAGAAAACAACGACTTCGTGAGCGCACTCAACAGCCAGAAGAGACCTTTACCAGATACATTGAACAAGTTGTTGACTTGTGCAAGCGGGTAAACCCAGCGATGCTCGAAGCCGACAAAATCAAACAAGTCCTGAAGGGCATATGCGACGACGCATTTCAAATGTTGTTAGCCAAGGACCCACAAGCCATAGCCGATCTCTTCAGCTCGTGCCAGAGTTTTGACGAATTGCACAAGCACCATGCCCAAGCACGGCGCTCTCTGGAATAACGTGACTCGATCGCGGCCTTGACTCTCGCAGACCAGGACAACATGTTGGCTCGCATAAGGCAGTTCGTTCATCAGGAGGACAACTCGGCAGCACTCCATTTCTATCGAGCACAACCGAACCAGCACAAACGCATCCTCTGGCCCCAGATCATCTGGCCCCGGCCATAAGACACGTCATTCAAGATGAGGTCCCTGACGCTTTGGCTTTCACTCGTTCACCACCCCTGGAGGCCGCCCCCTTTGACGTATGCGCCAGTCGTTGCAGCCAGAGCACCTCAACAGCCCACCTATGCAACCTCACCCGTCTATGTTCGGTTATCACCAGTTCCGTTCAGCCGGGCAATAGCGGCGTTTCTGAATCCGTGGCGCACCGCAGACAACCGGCCAAATTGCTCTTCTTTCCGTTACGCAGAACATGCGGCTCGCTTGTGCCGCCGCCGCCCTCTCATTCACAGCGACACCATGCAAGGACCGGCGCACGACTCTCGGCGCTTTAACAACACGGCACGTCAACAAGGATCCTCTTCCCCCGACCCCTCAGCCAGTCATCGATCTACATCTCCCCGATGACACTCCACCTACGCGCCGTCGACCCTGCGCTTCAGACGCGGAAATCTAGATGCCGCAGCACCCGAGGCATAAACTGCGTCGTCGTCGTCAAAAGAATCAAGTCTTCGCATTTCTCCGACAAACCTCATCGACATTTTTGTTTATGCTTACCGTACCCATGCGCTTGCGGACACCGGTACTGCCTTTTCAGTAATTGATTTAAAACTTTGCCGCCTGATTCAGTAGGTTACCACGACGCCAAAGGAATTGTTCCTCCGTACTGCCAATACTCACCATATTTGACCATCAGCTGCCAGTACCGCCCACATTCTCATCCAAGATGTTTTCTGTACCGTTAAATTTCTTGTGCTACAGGCGTGTTTCTTGATGTGATCCTCGGCTGGGATTTTCTGTCTCGTAATCATGCGATTATCGACTGGGCTCGTGCTGAAGTGGCCTTCTCTGCGTTGTGTGCGTCGTCTCCGGAACTTCCGTTGATTTGTCACCGACGAAATCGAAATACCACCGACTAGCGCAGCCTCTGCTCTCGTGTCTTGGGCTGATGTGTCTAAGCCTGCAGAGTTGTTTACGCCTTTCGAAACATTACAAAGTCGCAAGAGCCTCACGTTGTCGTTTGCAGTTCTAGATATTTCGGTGGTCACTGCCCATTTGTTTGTCACAAATTCCTTGCCGTCTCCCACAACCTTGCGTCGCGGAGAATGTATTAGAACAATCCAAGACTTAGACGTTTCCTCCATCGTCGGCCTTGACGGTGAAAGTGATTTGCAGCGTAATGCACTAACGTCATCTGCCCGTTCACCTGTTCACGAAATTAATAATTTGTTTGACCCCTCATTTGATTGCGAATTGGAAGAACCACACCGGAGAAGCTTCTAGAACTTCTTCGTCAGTTTCGTGGCTCGTTCGACTGCCAGCAAACGTCCTTAGGCCGAACGCACTAACACCGCATCACAATAACACCGGCTCCCAAGCGCCTCTGAGACTGCATTCCTACCGTATATCTCCTGTTGAGCGTCGTGTGATCACCGAGCTAGTGGACGACATGCTTCAACGTGGTGTCATCCGGTTGTCCAGCAGTCCTTGGTCTTCACCTGTAGTACTTGTGAGAAAAAAAAAATGACGCCTCAATTTGCTTTTGCGTCGATTACCGCCGTTTAAATAAGGCCACGCCTAAAGACGTATACCCTTTGCCGCGCATCCATAATGCTCTGAACTGCTTGCAAGGCGCTTAATTCTTCTCATCACTAGACCTTCGGTCCGGTTATTGGCAGGCCCCCACGGCACCATCAGATCGTCCAAAAACTGCTTTTTTGAGGGCCGATGGGCTATATGAATTTAATTTAACGCCGTTTGGCCTTTGTACTGCGCCAGCCACAGTCTAAAGGGTGATGGAGAGCGTCTTGCGTGGGCTAAAATAGAAGACATGCCTTATGTTACTTGGATTATGTCGTTCTTTTTTCCCCTGATTTCTACAGCCAACTCCATTGTCTCAGCGAAGCCTTGAACTGCCTCACGAGCGCAAGCCTTCAACTAAACATCAAGAAGTGCCACTTTGGAGCTCGGAAGCTCACAATACGTGGCCACGTTGTCTCAAAACGTGGCGTCCTCCAAGCTCAGAGAAGCTTCGTGCTGTCGCGAAGTTCTCGAAGCCTACGACCGTGAAAGCGCTTCGCATCTTTGTCGGACAGTGCTCATACTTTCGCCGCTTTGTAAAGAACTTTGCTTCGATGATCGCATCACTGACACAGCTGATCACTGGCGATGGACACTTCTCTGAATGGTCGCCAGCATGCGATGATGCTTTTCAACATTAAGCCGTCTCCTTACTTCACCGCCTATTTTACGCCAATTCAACCCTACTGCTCCAAATGAGGTGCACGCGGTGCCAGTGACATAGGACTTGGCGCTGTCCTTGCTCATTGCAAGGTTGGCTTCTCGGTGTGTGTAGTTGCGTATGCCAGTCGCACCCTAACGAAGGCAGAACACAAATACTCAGTTTCCGAAAAGGAATGTTCGGCCATTGTTTGGGCATTACAAAAATGTTCTCTTTACTTATACGGACGCCCATTTGATGTAGTTAAAGATCGTCATTCACTCTGTTGGCTCGCTTCATTAAAGGAGCCTTCGGGCCCACTTGGACGTTGGGCGCTACGTTTACAAATATTTGATATTCACGTCACTTACCGCTCAGGCCACAAGCATACCGACGCAGATGCTCTTTATTGTTCGCCCCTTCCTTCAGCTGTTGCACTTGTTTCCTTCGCCAAAGCTACCATCGACAGCATCGATACCGCTCACATGCCTTCGGAACAACGCAAGGAACCTAAGATAGCCTCGCTCATCGACGTTCTCTCCTCGTTTTCGGTGAACCACGCCAGCGTCTACCTCATGCACTACGTCGGCAAATTTCCTATTATACGATACGGCATGCCATGTTGTAACGTCGCAACTATCAGCCGGATGGTAGGAAATGGCTTCTTGTTATATCTCGCATTTGCGCTCCAACATGTGCGCGTACTTCCACGCAGACCCTCCAAACGCACACGCTGGCGTTTTGAAAACATGCGACCGGCTTTTCCAGCGAATTTTCTGGCGTTGAATGTACTCGTACGTTCGCAAGTACATACGCTCCTGCACTGAGTGTCAGCGACAGAAAAACAACTTCTCACTCCTCAGGCGAATTACAACCATTGCAGTGTCCAGCTCGGCCGTTTGATAGAATTGGCAGTGACCTCTACGGCCCACTACCTTGTACTGCTGCTGAAAATCGCTGGATTATTGTGGCAATTGACCATCTAACCTGTTACGCTGAAACCGCCGCTTTGCCAGCCGCTGCTGCTCGTGATGTTGCCTTGTTCATCTTGCGTAGCTTTGACCTTCACTAAGGCGCGCCACATGAGCTGCTTAGCGACCATGGGCGTGCGTTTCTATCGCAAGTCGTCCAGGAACTTTTCAGTGAGTGCAGTATTATTCATCGCACCACTACAAGCTATCAGCCACAGACAAACGGTTGGCTCGATCGGTGATATGCTTTCTATGTACATATCCTCCGACCATTCTAATTGGGGCTTGGTGCTCCCTTTCGGGACGTATGCGTATAATAAGGCAACGCAAGCCACTACTGGGTTTTCACCTTTTTCTCTACTGTACGTACGTGAGCCCTCTTCTACGCTTGACACGATACTTACTTAGTACCCCGATGCTTCGAATACCGCCCAGCCTCCAAACTTCTTCAGTGTGACGAAGAGTGCTACCAATTAGCGCGGTAATTTAGAGTCCATCGCCAAAGGTCTCCAAAAAGGACGACTTGACAAAGAAAAGCCTATTCACAGCTTCCCCGTAGGCTCATTTGTATGGCTTTCTGTTTCATTCTAGTCCCCCGGCCTCTCCCGGAAGTTTGCACCCAAGTGCAATGGTCTGTACCGCATCGTGAAATGCACATCACTGGTCAACTACGTCGTCTAACCAGAGACACTTGCCGATGACAGACGATGCCGTGGTCGCGAGAAAGTCCACATCAGCCGCTAAAACATTCGTATGATCCACTTGTGCTTGCTTCGCCGTGAATCACTAGGATGGCTCCTCTTCACCACCGGGGCAAATGTAGTGGGGAAGAAGGAGAGAGACAGCATCTAGTCGGAGCACCTGAGCTGAGCTCGTGACAATGACTGACGTGCCTTGAATCAGGCAATTGGTTTTAGTCAATAAACCGCCTTTATATATATATATATATATATATATATATATATATATATATATATATATATATATATATATATAGATATATATACATACATCTATATATATATATATATATATATATATATATATGAGATATAACAGACAGTAATGCCAAGGAATGTACAGGGGAAGTTAATAAAACCAATGGAATGTAAATAAGAAGAAAGAAAAGTGGATGAAAAAATTACCAACTGTGAGCAGGAATCGAACCTACGACCTTCGAATTAGGTTCGATTCCTGCTCACAGTTGGTAATTTTTTCATCCACTTTTCTTTCTTCTTATTTACATTCCATTGGTTTTATTAACTTCGCCTGTACATTCCTTGGCATTACTGTCTGTTATATCTCATTAATATTGTATTAAAACACGGAAAAACGAGCCCTTAGGTATACACTTCTTTCCCTTATATATATATATATATATATACTCTATCTGCCTCTATCTTTAGAGCTGTTCAAGGTTGTTGCAAGATGTCAATGTTGCCTCCAGTGAAGCCAATGCTTGTGTGCCTTGTGCTGACGTGGAATACGTTTGAGGGAGTGGAACGCAATGAGGAATGCTCGTGGGAAAAATTGAAGCCTGCTGTCATAGACCATCACTCGGAAACCGCTTCTTAGGACGTCTAAGACGTTGAGGCAGTAGCCCTACGACTGAACTGTGTCGCAAAGCTTGCGCAGCACCCTCGTTTCGTATGAAGTCGACACTAGTGGCTGCTCACGAAGGAATCTGAAATGCTGCTGTATAATCCTGCTTTTCTCCCTGAACCTCTGCTACAACAGCTAAATGACACTCTCACGGCACTTCACCTGTAGAAATAACTAACTGGGGGACAAAATTTACAACCAAGCTGTCATAGTTTTGAGCCTGAGTGGAACGTGTCACTGGCGTGTGATGTCATGCCATCCACAATGAAATTCTCTGATGCAATGGCTGATAAAACGCTTGCGGATACGTTTTTATATACGTCTACGTGACATGACAAGTGGCATAAGATACAGCCCTATGTCGCTTTCGCGTACAACACGGCTCAGCAAGTAACAACATGTATGACACTATTTCGTCCACTGCATGGCCGTGAAGTCGCCACAATTCTCGGCGCTATGCTACCACATAAAAAGGTGGCTTTCAAACAAATGCCGCCTAGATAACTCAGCTTGCTGATGAAGCCGTACAACTTGCGCGCATACCTATTTGTCGCTGCAGGATTATGACACAGGGCGCTGTAATCTAAGTTACCCACTAGTTCCCTATGAGTCGAGAAAGAGGGTTTGGGACTGGAGCACGGTTGACCATCGTGGCCTCTCAGAAAACTCTTATGGCATATTTCAGGTGGTGTAAATTCATCCAACGCCTCAGTGATGTTAGCCAGCACATGCAATACGTGTGTCCGATTGTGCGATGTGACGTTTGGTGTGTCATCGCGCATATGTTGGAAGGTGTATATATTGCGGTGGTTTTGCAAGAGCGGTATTAGTGAGCTGACGCTATTTCCTTGCACCTTCTTTTCAGCAGATGCTCGAGCCGTTTAATTTTTTGTAACTAAACTTCGAACGTGAATATTGTTCTCACTTACAGCTTGCACCACTGAAAAATCTAGATTATATATAAGGGTTGCCAAGTTGCCTGCTACTTCACATTGTGCAACAATGTTCTGTGATTATGTACTTAAGAAATGATAGCTGAGGTCTTAAATGAACCTTATAGAAACAGTGTTTCTCAACAACATGTACCAAATAAAATAATATTGAAAGTTTACCTTCAATAGCTGTGGTCACTTCCAGATCCTTGCTGGGGTCGCCGATGCCAATGTCGTTTTCCGCTCGAACATGGCAGCGGTAAGTAAAAGCAGGTCGAAGAGGCCCCACAGATGCCAGTGTTTTCGTTCCTTCGACTGAAGTGTTGAGGGATTTACCTGCAGAGTATAGTAAAATAGAATAAATTTTTTCATTGTCAAGAGGGTTTGCGTCATCTGATTAGCCCAGTTAAGTCTAAAAAACAAAAAAGGAGGCAGGGCGTTTTTAGTCTTTCTGAAACACTTAGTTATCTCCGATATGTATTAGGCCAATCAGAGGTACCAACTATCCCCACTACCTCGTCCAAACAAGGTGAAAGCTACGCAACAGGAGCTGAAGTACAAGGTAGTCGGGTAAATACTACCCGTGGAAAAGAACTTCTAATGTATTCGATTCTGTCTGTCAGTTCATTACACTGCGAATGATAATGATTGTTATTATTTCTTTGTTTTGTTTGGTTCTTGTGGTGCATAAGCAATTTAGGCCATCATGCACCAAACGTGTGGTATGGTTCACCTAAAATGTTGGGATACGTCACCAAATCCTTGTCTAGGCAAGAGTCCTGGGAAACCAATTAGGTCTGAAAGACCTAGTTCTTCTTCTCAAAAGTGAGAAGCCGAAGAAGGTGTTCCTGTGCATTTATATGGAGCAGGGTATGAATTTGTAGCTTGTCTAAAAAACATTCTTATTTAAGAAGCTAAAAACGTATGCGTTATCAACAAGGGTGCCTTCCCTGGATAGCAGCGCAGGATGAAAAGTCGTAAAATAGCTGTAAAACATGTTGCAATGTTTTTATTCCTTACCTCGCCCAGGTTAGTGCATCACAATAAAATTTAATTTACCTATAGCTCATTCCAAACTTATGACACATGGGTTTGTCTTCTTTTGCTAGTATTTAATTGTTTGTGAAGTGTGTCCATTGTGTAACTAAAATACTTCATTGAAGTATTTTTGGTGTGAGCTGGACCTTCATTCTTCAAAGGTGGTTTTAGGAAATGGTGTAAATTCTTTGTCCCTGACGCGCATCTAGCTTGCCGTGTTCATATAAGTTTGTGGTGTACTGATGTTATGACATCTGTTAAATATTGTTAAATATTTATTAGAAGCGAGAAGACAACAAACTGTAGACAGGAGGGCGGAGCTCGTGCTTGTGTGCGCCGAACAAACGTTTTGGTTGCTGTGAATGCGTTTGTCAATCTTCTGAGTGATTTCACCTTTGTTTTCGCTCCTCGCTTACGTCGGAGATACCATTATCCTGCATTTTATCGTTACAAATCCGGTACTCTGCTATCTTTGCGAGCCGACGCAAATACTTCACCCGCGACGACGATGGAGCGCATGAAAGGCAAATGACTGGCTCAGCGAGTTCTGCACACGCGTTTACAAAACAAAGCACGGCAACTGCCTGACTACAATTAGTTTGCCTCGTCAGAGCTTTGTGTGGTACACGACAGGCTGAAGGCATGCCAGGAAGGCCTGCGGGCACTGAACTTAGAGCGGGAAGCACACCTAAGTGATGACGAAGCCGCAGAAGAATACGCCCCTATAGCAGACTATGATGCCAACGCTGTCGTTGCTAGGTAACTACGCGGAGGAGCTCAAGGCGTCAACGTCCAGAATTCCCAACAGTGCGGCAACCAATATCAAAAACGACAGTACCAACACTACAGGATGCCGTGTCCTTGGCGATCCGATGACATGCCGGCTTGCCCGCTCTCGTATCCTTAAACTTGAGCCGCTTCACTGCAACAGAAGCCCGCTGCAGTGGCAATCTTTGAGGGGTATGTTCAGGCACGCGGTTCGCGAAAACCTCAGCCTATCGAACATCAAATGGCTCTACTGTTTGAAGAGCCAAGTGACTGCACAGGCATCAAAGGCAATCGATGGCATTCGAGCCACGGAGCAGTCACACGAAGACGCCATAACCCTTCTAAAAGACTATTTTCGTTACAAGATCATCGAACAACAATATTTGTCAAATATGTGAACGCTCAAGCCAGTAATGTGCTCCAGCATTGTGGCTTTGTTGCGAAACCTATTGGTTACCGTTCACATTGATATCAGAAGACTTAAGGCGCTCGGATGCCCGGGGCCCTCCAATGCCGCTATGCTCATCGAGGTCCTCACGAAAGCAATCACCAAATACCTTGGTATGTTACTTTAAACAACAGAGCGGTCAGACGAGCGTTGAGGTGGTTGCAACGTCAGAAACAGAACTTCGGAAGCTACTCTAGTACTCGTGCACGGAGGTCAGAGCTCGTGAGAGAATCGCCTTTGTGGACGCCGGCGGTTGTGGTGTTCAGATAACAACAGGGCACGTTTCACAACGCATCACCTACGGCATTTGCTCTGAGTAGCCACGCAACGAATTTGAAAGGTACCTGCTTTTTTGCCTTTCTTTTGCGCACGTGGCACAGGCATGTCCTTCCGACTTTATCATGGACTAGAAAAAGAGCCGCTTAGCAAAAGCCGGCTTATGTTTCAAGTGCACCAGCAAGGGACATTGCTTTCAAAAATGCCGTCGTTATCTGAGGTGTTCAAAGTGTAGCGGCACACACGCAACAATTTCTTGCGACCTTGAATACGCTCAGAAGCAGCGCTCAAACAAAACAAGGACCCCTAGCATACATGCTAAAACAAACAAGCCATCATGTCAACATAAAGAAATAGCGGTCTTACCACAGACATTTCATGCATGGTTGATAACCGGTGAACTAGCCGGGAACTAGCAGCGAAGGCGTAATGGTTAGAGCAACCGCCTCGCATGCATTAGGTCCGTGGTTCGAATCCTGGTGTCGCGCAGCTCCCCACCGGATAAAAAAAAGAATCCGCGTGGTGATGCAGGCAGATTGTGCTGTAAATGCAACCAAAAATGATCGAACAAAATTTGCAGATCCATAATAAACGTTCAGTAAAGAGTTCGCACAGCTCAACAAAACCAAGCCTGCTTGCGCTAGCGTCGACGACAAGCAGGCTAATTGAGAGAAACCGACACGTGAAGAAAATGAGGCAGAAATATATTTACTGTGTACATATATGAAGGAGGCTTAAACTAAATCTAGAATAAATTAACTTGTTCACCATGGCAGAGAAGATGAACCTAAAGAAACATGAATTTTATATGAAAAAATTGTAATCCAACATTGTGATTCAATCAGAGACACCCACGTAAAACCACGTGCTATGGAGCACGCAAATCACGCCGTGTAATTGTAAACTTGAAATTACATGCCCATAATCATGAATTTCGCTTATACTATAGATGAAGAACGCATCTTGGGCTGGGAATGCAGAAACGTAGGCTCCCCCCCCCCCCCAAAGACTTCTACCCCAGCGCGCGTCTAGCCTTTGAAAGGAATCGAAACTTGCGATGCAGGTAACTTTAAAAATAATTGCGAATAAAAAAACCCCGAATTTCTAACAGGGTCTTCAGAAAATGCTAAAATCAATCATCCAGACCTCATAATCAACTTCACAGAATAAGCCCTTTTATTCTTACTGCTAACGCTCATACTGTAAACCCCAAACACAGCATAATAAGCTAAACTTTATGCGATATCTGCCTATTAACCGAAACGTGGCTCGAAGCGTTCATTCATAATTCCGAGATTCGCCACTTTCTTTCGCCTCGATATATTTCTGAAAAATAGAGCCGACAACAGGAGTTGGGGTGGCTTACAATAGGGATATGCATTCGATGCACTGCCCGCACATACTCATTGTTATCTAGTATCACTCCTTTAGTACTGCAATTTATTTCACCTAAGCTTCACGAAGGTTTAAACACGTTATTAAACATTTACTCTAATCGTCCAGTGCTTTTATTAAGTGCTTTGTTTTACACTTTTTTACCATTGACAGCTCTGACTCTAATAATATGTGGCGTGATTGTGAAACCGAAAATCAGGCTTCGAGTGTGCCGTGCAGTGGCGAAGAGGATGTGGTTATGCGCGTATATGGCATGTGTAACCAACGACGAAGTCGGTGACACCTCGTGAGCCGCGGCCTCGCGGGTTCGTAACCCCGATTCGGCAATGCGAAGTGCAGCGCTCGAGGCAGGGCTACCTTGTTTGGCGTCTGGCCTATAGGTTCCACCCCGGTAATGTAGCTACCTTTCAACTAACTGGTGCTTGGCCTCTCCTAGGTGACATGCCCGTGACGGCCGACCTTGCGTTCATCCCGCCCTAGCACTGGACGACTGGTCCAGAAAAGCAGGCACCGGGTTCCTGAGACTGCTTGCCTGTTCGTGAGCCAGGGGTTTTGAAAGCTGGGTTTGCCCCCTGGTTCAGGAGGTCTAGCAGGGATCTTCGTGCTGCACTGCTGGTGCCCAAAGGCCTAACTACCTGCCGCCGCAGCACGTCTGTCGTCGACTTCGGTTAGCCGACCGTGGAGTCGAGTCAACCGAGTCAACCAAATCAACCAAACTTCGCCACCGCAAAGTTTCGACGAGTCTACAGCGACCGCCCAGGCAACAATGTCACCAACCTGAACTGTATGCCTCACATTCTGTTTATCTCCATATCTTATGCGCGTGCATGTTAGCCCTAGTGTGTATGTATAGGTGCGAAATGAGGTACTGTATCTGTGATTTGTGCTTGTGTACTGGCGTACTGTCGACTTCTTTCTGGAGCGGTCCCGTCCCCATATAACATCACAAGCTGGTGAGCTGACCAGGATCCACTCATTAAACCAATGAAATAAGGCAGTTTCGCTCGAGTGCAGACACACATCCGGACTGTGCAATAGAGTTAGATAAACTCACCATTGTAGGACTCCAACTCGGCTTGGCAGGTGCAGAGCTTTTAAAGTGCATTGATGCCCAGCAAGCTAAGCTAAGAGATGAAAAAGCTGCGGAATGTTATGCCGACAGAGAAGCTGACGAGAGGCAGCGCACAATTCTTGACCTTAAGGTAAAACTTCAGGAAGGAGCCAATATTGTGCCAGTAGCAGCGACTAAGGATTCGCTTTCGCCTAGCACCTCCCTATCTGTGAATCCGCACAAGTTCCTGCCTTTGTTCGACAAGAAACGCGATGATTTGCATGCGTATATTCAGCATTTCGAGCACGTCATGACTGGACAGAGTCGGCCGTGATAAAATTGGGCCTCGCTGTAAGCATG